GGGCTGGGGGTGGGGAAAGGAGGCAAGGGTGGGGGTGGATGCCCCAGAAGTGGTGCTGTTGGGTGACGGCCCTGCCCCATCCCAGAACCAACAGCCTTATTTTTAACCCTGCTGATGAAAGTTATTCGGAATGAAATCAAGAAGAGTGACTGCTCCCTGTCCCTCCCCCTGCCCCAGTTACTGCTCTCTTCCCTTCCCCCAGCAAGGTCAGAGCCATCTTAAGAGACCTTCACCCAGAGGCATGAGTCTGGATATGGGGAGGGGTCAGGGCAGAAAAAGCAGTTTCCTGCAATTCCCTAGCAGAGACTTGACTCAGGGAGAGAGCCTGGTGCTTAAAGAAACTCACTGCAGTCTCCTGGGGGGTTGAGCGGGCCAGGAACATCCCAAGATGGAGATGGATCTTCTCTCTCAGTGTGCAGCACAAGCGTCTGGAGGGCGTATACAACAGATTCCTGGGCTCTTCCTCCTCAAATTTGGATTCAGGAGGTCTGGGCTAGAACCTGAGAATCTGCATTTCTAATAAGCTCCCAGGTGATGAGGATGTTGGGGGTGGGGTGCATGGACCACACAGCGAGTGGCACTGGACTAAAACTGGTAGCCTCCGGGCCACAGGGGTTCAGCTGCCCTTCCCAGGTGAGCCGTCTGTGTACCCCATCGAGGCTGCCTGGAGCTGAGAATCTGGAGAGCCTCGAAGGCCATGCTAAGTGGTTTGGACTTTATTTTGAGCGTGGTAGGCAGACTTGCAGAGATTTTAAGCAAGAGGTGAGGCCATGGGAAGTATGGTAAAGCAAGTTCTCCACGCCACCGCTGAGTGCAGGATCAGTGGTGGGGAGTGAGCCTGCAGGAGACAGATGGGGAGGCGGGGCAGGAGGAATGGCAGAGCGAGGGGAGCAGGACAGACAGGAGTTGGTGACTGACTGGCTGTGGGTGTTGAAAGGAGGTGGGGAGGGAGGTGTGGAAGAACTCTGAGATTCCTGGCTTGAGGCTTCGAGCTGGGAGCCATCCAGGGATCAGGGACATGAGGGTGGTGAGAAGGGCTGACAAGGGGGCTGTGGGCCAGGCTGATGGAGGTGGGCAGCGGGGTGCGCTTCCTTCCTACACAGCAGCCATCATTGCCTTGGGCTGAGTGGCCACCCCCTCTTGACCCCAGAGTTGATCCCCCAGAATCTTCCAGGGCTCTGGGTGGTGGCTGTGGTTCCTGCCTGAGGAGTCCCGCAACTGTTGCCTTGGGCTGAGTGGCCACCCCCTCTTGACCCCAGAGTTGACCCCCCAGAATCTTCCAGGGCTCTGGGTGGTGGCTGTGGTTCCTGCCTGAGGAGTCCCGCAACACAGCTTCCCAAGGCACCAGAAAATGAGCCTCCTTCAACTCACATGACCAAAAAAGGACATTCTCTCCGTCTGAAGGTTTGCCCGGGATCCTTTCCCTCCTCCCCCGACCTGGGGTTTCAGGTTTCCAGGGAAGTGGCTCGGAAAAGTTTAGGACTTTGTCCCACACATTCCCAGTTCAGGCAGAATGAGCCTGAAGATACGTATGTATCACACTCTGTTTTGATATCACAGATGTCATCCTCCCCTCCTCCACCGTCACCACCACCATTGTCATTGTCATTATCATCATCACCATGTGGGCTGAATGCTCTCACAGGCTGCCTCTCATTTAGTTTCCACAGTAACTCTGAGAGGGGAGAATTATTATCTCTTCTTTACAGATGGAGAAACTGAGGCACAGAGAGGTAAAGCCATGCACCCAAGGTCCTAGAGTCCCAGCGGGGCCGGGACTAGGGGGAGGTGAGGGAGGGAGAGATGCACATGCAGGAGCCAATCCAGTCTTCCCCACTCCCCATCTGGTCTTTATTTGAAATTTCCTACAAAGTTTGTTCGTCAAGGATTTTTTTGCATGAATTTTGACTTTTAAAAATACAAGGGTACTTCAAAAAGTTCATGGAAAGATTTGAATTATCTTTTAATTCTGTTTTTCCATGAACTTTTTGAAGTGCCCTTGTATTGCATTAAAATATGATTTATCTTTACAGATGGAGAAACTGAGGCACAGAGAGGTAAAGCCATGCACCCAAGGTCCTAGAGTCCCAGCGGGGCCGGGACTAGGGGGAGGTGAGGGAGGGAGAGATGCACATGCAGGAGCCAATCCAGTCTTCCACACTCCCCATCCGGTCTTTATTTGAAATTTCCTTCAAAGTTTGTTCGTCAAGGATTTTTTTGCATGAATTTTGACTTTTAAAAATACAAGGGTACTTCAAAAAGTTCATGGAAAGATTTGAATTATCTTTTAATTCTGTTTTTCCATGAACTTTTTGAAGTGCCCTTGTATTGCATTAAAATATGATTTATCTTGATTTCTGCGGTTTTCGGCATCCGCATAAGTTTTGCGCCTAGGTGAGTGCCTTGGCCATCTCACTCTGTCCCCGGCCTTGGTAGAGCCAAAATTGGAACCCAGGGCTGCTGATTCTTAGACTGTGCTCTTCACCTTGCCCTGTGCTGCCTCCTCGCCAGCACACATGTGCCTGCCTGCCTGTGTGCGTTCTTTATGCATTCTTGTATTCATAAAATAGTCTCTCATTCAGTAAACATTGTGGCAGTGTTGCATAGCAGGGAGGCAGGGGCTTGGAAATCAGGCAGGTCTGGGTTGAAAATCTTACTCCATTGCTAATTACTGAGTGGAAGTCAAGCCTGTGGTTTGAGCACAGACTCAGGATCCTGGAATGCCTTGATATGAATCCTTGCTCTGTTACTTACTAGCTGTATAAGTCTGGGAGGATTCTTTAAAACCTTCTTGTGCCTCGGATTTCTCCTCTGGAAAGAGGGATGATGGCCACATCTATCACCTAGAGTTTTTTGGGGGATTAAACAAGTTTATTTCTGTGAAGCCTTTGGCACAGAGTCAGTGCTTGGTAAGAGTTAACCACTATTTTGCATCCTTGAGCAAGATACCTCTCTGAGCCTCAGTTCCACACCTGTGGAGTAGGGATGAGTAAAAATGACCTCACAGGCAATTTTGATGGTTGCAAGGGATAGATAAAAGGCCTGGCACATAGTACAGCTTAAGAGAATTTATCTCCCTTACTGTGGCCACACTTCTGTGCTGGAGACTGAGATAAAGTGACACAGGCACATCAACTCCCTGAGGAATTAACTCATCTGCAGAGAGTGGACACTCTGACTTGAACTTGAAGTTCCTCCAAGGCACCAAGCTCTTGCCCTGTCTCAGGGCCTTTGCACATGCTTTTCTGTCTACCTAGCTCACTGTCCCCATCCACCTCTTATGGGCCTAATGCATGTATTTCTTTAGGTCTCAACTTACATGTCTCATCCTCAAGGTTCACACAGCCAGGGAGTGGGCCCATTTGCCCAGTGAAGGGATCTGGGCAGAGCACTGACTGTGTCTACTATAGATGGGAAAATTACATCTCTATTTTTACTAAGCTGTAACTGAGATTTAGCATTTTCTTCAGTTATGGAAGGAGGCAATACACCATAGTAGTATTAGCAGTAGTGTGACTTAGTCACAATAGAAATTGCATATATTTTCACGTCACATTACTGTTGTTGCGGTTATTCCTGAACTATCCTTTATGCTAACCTGCACTTTCAGATTACAGTACTTAATACATCTGATAGATATTTTGTTTAATGTGTTAATAAAGGACATAGATTATTATAATTTTATTCTTTTACATATTTTGGGAACAGTGTGTCAAAATAACTGCATCTTTTTGTAATCCTGTGTATTTTATGCATTTAAAAACATTATTCTGGGGCCGGCCCGGTGGCGCACTGGATAAGTGCGCTGCTTGGGAAGCGCGGCGGCGCTCCCGCCCGAGGGTTTGGATCCCACATACGGACCGGTTCCCGCTCACTGGCTGAGCGAGGCGCGGGAGCAGCACTGAGGGTTGCGATCCCATTGCCGGTCCCCGGTCTGGTACGGGCGCAACACTGAGGGTTGCGGTTGCAACTCTCTGGGGTAGCAATGAGCCGTTAGCAGCCAACACTCACACAGCCAGGGAGTGGGCCCATTTGCCCAGTGAAGGGATCTGGGCAGGGCACTGACTGTGTCTACTATAGATGGGAAAATTACATCTCTATTTTTACTAAGCTGTAACTGGGATTTAGCATTTTCTTCAGTTATGGAAGGAGGCAATACACCATAGTAGTATTAGCAGTAGTGTGACTTAGTCACAATAGAAATTGCATATATTTTCATGTCACATTACTGTTATTGCGGTTATTCCTGAACTATCCTTTATGCTAACCTGCACTTTCAGATTACAGTACTTAATACACCTGATAGATATTTTGTTTAATGTGTTAATAAAGGACATAGATTATTATAATTTTATTCTTTTACATATTTTGGGAACAGTGTGTCAAAATAACTGCATCTTTTTATAATCCTGTGTATTTTATGCATTTAAAAACATTATTCTGGCTTCACTAGACTATCAAAGGGCTCTGTGAATCAAAAGAACTTCAGTACCTAGTTCTGGGGCCTTGGCATCCTCTGCATTCAACCAGTAATGTGGGGGAAAAGAGAGGGCACAGAGGTTTTAATGGGCCAGGCCTGGAAATAGCACACACATGTCTTCCCATAATGCATTGGCCAGAACTCAGTCATCTGACCATCCCTAACTGCAAGGGAGCTGGGAAATGTAGTCTATCTGTGTGCCCAGTAAATAGACTGCTGGGGAATGCACAGCAGTCTGGGCCACTGGGTTTGATAAATATTCGTTGACAGCCTGAGTGAGGGAGTGAATGCTGTGTCCAGGGTGTCCCTTTGTGGGTTGGGGAGAAGGGGCAGAGGGCTGGTGGAAAGGGTCTGGGGAATGCACAGCAGTCTGGGCCACTGGGTTTGGTAAATATTCGTTGACAGCCTGAGTGAAGGAGTGAATGCTGTGTCCAGGGTGTCCCTTTGTGGGTTGGGGAGAAGGGGCAGAGGGCTGGTTCTATGGAGGGCTCCTGAGTCTCCTGTTATGTTGTCTTCTTAGGACAAGCCACGCCAGGGCCAAAGCTGAGGCAGCAGAACAGGCCGCCTTGGCCGCCAACCAGGAGTCCAACATTGCCCGCACTCTGGCCAGGGAGCTGGCTCCAGACTTCTACCAGCCAGGTAGGGCCAGCCAGGGAGGGGAAGGGTAGGACAGGGTGGGGGCCATCCCTGGGGTGGGCACTTTTCTTTGATTGCTGGAAAGCTGAGATGCCCACATGGGCTCATGCATGCTTATGAGTTTTAGGAACTGTGGGGTGTGGTGCAAACGTGGGATGGGATGATGCAAGGGGAAAGTGGGGGAGACACATCTCTGCCTTCCTGCTGAGACTGTGGTGGGGTAGCAGAGGCTCCCAGTTGTGGGTACCAACTCCAGCCTATCTCTTCTCTGTGCTCTGCGCAGGGCAGACGATTGGAACTGGTGGAGCTTAGAGCAGGGGAGGTCTCAGATGGATGAGAGGAAAAAGGGCTTCCTGCTCTTGCTCAACAGCTTCAGTCAAGCATTAATTGAGCACTGCCCACAGGTCAGACACTGTGCTGGGCTCTGGAGGTACATAACTGGGGTCCAGAATCTGGAAGGAGCAGAGAATCACAAAGACAGCATAGCAGGGGGTGGGACATGTGGACCCTGAGTGCATTTAAATCCTACCTTCACTGTTTACCAGCTGGGAGAACTTGGGCACGGTCTTTAACCTCCATAAACCTCAATTTCTTGATCTCTAAAGTGGAATTAAAAATAGTGCCTACTTTTTTGTGCATGGATTAAATGCAGGTAAGGTGGATGTCCAGGCCACTGTAAACTCTCAGTGACTGTGACAGTTGTCTCACTATTATGATTACATTTCATACAGCATGGTGAGTGCCGTCTACTTAGAACAGGGGCATTGGAAACTCACAGGAAGCACTTAACCCACTTAGGCAAGGGAAGGCTGCCCTTGAGAGAGGCCATTTGAGCCAAAACTTGAAGGCCGAACAAGAGTTCACCATGTCAGTGGGTCTCAAACTTGACATGGACTGTTGGCCCACCCCCAGAGTTTCTGATTGGGTAGGTCTGGGGTGGAGCCCATGTATATGCATTTCTAACAAGGAGCAGGTGATGCAGATGCTGCTAGTCTGGGAACACACTTTGAGAACTACTGCACCGGGTAGTGCTGGGTGGGACAGGTGAACCTGGGTGGGAGGGGACCATAGGTGCAAAGGCACAGAAACTCGGGCGGAGTGGAATGCTGGGAAGCTAGATGGTAAAATAGGCAGTGGGTGGTAAAAAATGAGGCTGCAGAGACTGATACAGACTTGCTCTTGGATAGAGCAGTGGGAGCCCCTGAGGGCAGGAGACTGGTGTTCTCTGCATTGGGGGCTTTATGATGAGAGATATGATTAGATTTGTGTTGGCTTAACATTATTCTGGCTGGAGCAAGGAGACCAAAGGGAGACTGGATGGAAGACCTAGGAGAGCAGATCTGTGCCTGGAAAGATGTCACTTCTGGTCGCCGCGCTCCCCCTGCTGGTCCTAGGAAGAGCGACCCTGTCTAGCCGCCTTTGCCTTGGGTGGTCATAGCAACAGCTGTGACTCTCTATACTTGTGCCAGGCACTGAGCTCAGCATTTTACATCCATTTTCTCAATTGATCCTTCCATTAGTATTTATGAAATAGGTATGATTAGGCGCATTTTTCAGATAAGGGAATGGAAAAAGACCAGTCAGTGTCTGCCTGGGTGCCAGGCCTGGCTCTGCCTTTTGTCAGCTGTGTGACTGAGGGCAAGTAATTTAACCTTTCTGAGCCTCTCTTCCTTCATCTGTAAAATGGAGTTTCACAATAGCATCTACTACATAGGGTTATTAAAACGGTTAGATGAATTAATTTTTGGAATTGCTCAGAACAGTGCCTGGCACTTGGTCAATGCCATGTGAGTGCTGACTATAAATGAATGAGGCTCAGAGGGTTAGACGGCTGGCCCAGGGTCACCCAGCTGCGGTCCCGGGGTTGGAACCCAGCCTCCCTGTGTTGTCCCCGGCAGGTCCGGAATATCAGAAGCGCCGGCTGCTGCAGGAGATCCTGGAGAACTCGGAGAGCCTGCTGGAGCCCCGCGACCGGGGTGCCGGCGCCGCGGGCCTGCCGGAGCGGCCCCGCGAGAGCCCCCAGCTGCATGAGCGCGAGACCCCGC